AATTTTTTAAGATACAAAACAGCCAAGGTTAACAGCAGTCCTGATCCCCTCTTTGCTCACAGGAACATCTCTTTAAGTCACATTAATAATCTATAAAGTTGCTCCATAAAAGTACTGGACTATGTCTGTCTGAAGTCGAGCTTCTATTTTCTTCTTCTTTCTTTTCCCTTTTACCCGTGCTATTCAAAGTTATGCTAATGTTTAATCCTGGAAAGGTTATCAAGCTCAGCAGCGTGTTGGTTCTGCTCTTTACAAACACACTGCAGAAACGCTTTAGTCAGGCAGAGAAAATCAAAGTGTCCTGTGAGGTTTTTTTTCTTTTCTCTGTGGGAGAATAATGCCCAGGAGCTTAAACAGCCATCAGCGTCTTTTTAACACAAACAATTGATGGTTGTTAGTGTTTCCTCCTTTTGCTACCTCCCTTTCCCCTTCTTCCAGCAGCTCTTATCGCTAACAGCTAAAGGTCTCGTCTCATTAGTGCTTACGCAGCTGCAGGAACCCGGAACTGTTCACCCACTCTGCTCGGAACCGGTTTTTCGACTGATCTCGACAACAATCGAAAATGTTCCTGTAAAGGCAAATTTTAAATTACAGAAATTAATAATTGATGAATTCGTTCAAATAGTGCGGCGACGTTTTCGTCCTTTGGTCGTGTGCAGTAAACACGAGAGCTACTGTGCTGCTATTCTCTCATCTGTCGCCAGGTTTTTCTGTTCTCCCTCTAAAAGATAACTTTGTTAAGTGTCAGAAGGAATAACTCCAAGGGAACAGAATCACACGCCGGACATACACTGTACGATTTTAGCCTGTTTTTGACCCGATTTTTAAGACGCACGACCTGGCGACGCACGGCCTGATTTCCCATTTCGTCGGGCCTGTTTTTCCGTACAATGTACAGGGAGGAACGAGGGCCGATTATCTGTTCCCGAACCAACCAACGTCGGACGGTCGGCTGAATTTCTGACATGTCAGAAATTTTGGTCGGCCGACAAATTCTTTCACACAGTAGGAGCAAAGCCCCGAAGTGATAGTCACCATGGCGAGGCGTCGGTGGCATGAAAATATGGAGGCGAGATTGATAGAGCTGTGGCAGCAACAACATGAGTGTACAATGTTTCCTCCTACAGCTACCACGACCGTGAGAAACGTTAAAAAAAAAAAAAATATCGCAGCAATCATAATGGCGGCCTTCTTCTTTTTGAATAGCATGTTGCTAATAACCGGCGTCGGAGCTTTCAAATAAATCTTTATTGAAAACTGTCAATAGACAGGACAGTCTGCAGAGGTCGACGTGCCGTTTTCACCCGCACAGTGTGAGCTCTCTGGTCGTGTTCGATGATCGGACCGTACAGCGTATGTGACTCACTGACTGTTTTGGCCAACAGTTAGCCAGCAACTCTAAAGCATAATGGGTTTTTCGGCTAACATTTAGCTCTTGGTTCCTACCTTAAATCCCTCACCATACTTGTGTGTCGAAAAGGTTGTTGTTTTCAAGGTACTTCCAGGTTTGTTTTTAACAAAAGGACATAGAGAAGCACCTGTGGCCGCAGGAGAAAAAACAAAACAAAACAAAAACCACTACCTGACCACAAAGTCTATGTCGTGGATCAATAATCGCAGCATTTTTCAACTAGAATGAAACTAGATTTGTCTCCAGGCACCAAGTACGGAACAAGATCTGAAAACTTGCTAAATCTGGCGACAGAGCCAAATGGAAACTGGACACTGAAGGGGCTGCTCTGAGGTGAGATAAAAAAGAAAAAAGAAAAAAAAATCGATTGGCACGTATCATTATTTGGGACGCTGCGGTAGCTGAAGGCACAGGAGCCATGTGTTTCAATATTGCCCTTTGAATAAAGTGTGACAACGGACACACACACACATATGACCTTTAACCTGTTCGGATACTCTTACAACTACGAAAAAAGGGAAAGGGATCCTGGATAACTTGGTTTTTTTTTTTTCACTTTATGTTTTCCATAACTAGAAATTATTTTAGAAACCTAGAAATCATATTCCAGGATTTCCAGGATGAATGGCAACCATGTTTAATGATGAGAGTATCGATTCTGTGGTATCAATATCAGACGAGTATTGACTACTCTTATAAAGTATATATATATATATGTATATATATATATATATATATAAGGAAGGAAGGAAGGAGGGAAGGAATCTTTATTGTCATATGCACCAGAGGTGATATGAAATTACTTTGTACTAATATATGTAAATATATATGAATATATGTAAATATATATATAAAAATATATATATCAATATATATATATATATATATATAAATATATTATATATATATATATATAAAATGTAACTTAAAATTGAACTGATCATCGTGTCATGTGACCACTGACCAGAAGAGAGCAGTGACTCCATGTGATCCAAGTCAACTAGACACCTGTGTCCCTTAATGGTAGCAATTATTTTGGTCATATTGTGTAAAAATAAAGTACTGTAATTTGTTATGACTAATACTTAAATTAAAGTTTCGACATCAGTGTCGGTAAGGAAAGAATGGCAAAAATAAAGTCATCTGTATTGAATCAAAACGTCGGCTATTGCTGCATGTCTTTACATAAAAGTAAAAGTAAATAAATTCCATTTTTTTTTGTTAATGCTGTTTCTACACCCACACACACCGATGCCTCCCCCTGTCCTGCTCTCAGTACACCCTGTGCCTCCGCAGTAATACAGGTGGATTAGCTATCGATTCTCCGCGATGACCCAACGTCATGTTTGTCTTCTTTTAGCTTCACCTCCAAACAACAGAGGGCAATCTGCTGGATCTCCTACTGCTGGTCACTCGTGTTCCTGGACCGTCCTGCTGGGTGATTCTGTGAGCGTGCTCGTGCACACGTACGGGCGTCCAGCGTCCGCTAGCCGAGTGTCTCGGTGTTGGGTTTGCTCTGATTGTACATTAGAGGTTGTCTCTTGTTTCATCAGCTCTAAGTACTGAAGGTCTTTCTTCACCACACGCTCTTTTCTTTACACCGTGGACGTTTGCAGACACACACGCGCGCACGCGGAGCTGGGTAATCACAGCGGTGTCTGCGGCCGCACACACAGCTGCGCTTCTGTTAAATGACTCTAGGGTGGGGTTTTTTAAGACGTGTCAGTAAAAATATATTTATCAAGTGTAGAACATGTTTTCACTCAGTTTATAATTAAAATAACGCTGGAAATATGTTTTGAACCACCGTCAATAGAAAAAACTTTCTATCAAACTTATTGGTATTTAATTTGACATTTTAAGACGTTGGCAGAATGATGGCCGCTCTTCGTCCGATAACTGCGCGGTGCACTCACTTATCGTAGCTTTAGTACACAAGTTGATACACGCGTTATTTGCAGACGTTCAAGGAAAATGTTTTTGTTTCAAGAAGAAAACGTTCAAGGAAAATGTTTTTGTTTCAACAAGAAAAAAAAAATCATCAAGTGGACCGGACTGAACCCCCTAACCGGCCGGATCTGGCCCGCAGGCCTTATGTTTGACACCCAGAATTTTAGTATTAAAAAAAAGCAGTGGCCACATCTATAAAAATATCGGTTTCGAGTTACAAAACAATGAAGATATTTTTCTTACAAAAATGGGTGACATCTTTTTCCATAACGCGGTAGTCGACAAAACGAGGCTGGATGTGTCTGAGGACAGCTTTTTTTTTTTTTTTTTTTTTTTTTTGAGTCTCATCCAAATGCAATCATCCTGCAGGAAATCTCCACCTATAGATCTTCTTTCTCCATCTGAGCGCACAAGAGCCTCCTCTTCTGCCTTTTGTTTTATTTACCATTTTTTAAATATGCTGAGTCTGAGTGTGTTTGTCTGAGCGTCCGTCCGTCCGTCCGTCCGTCCCAGAAGTGCTCGTGAGGAGGCTCTCTGCTCCACGCACGCACGCACAGGGCACAAAAGCCTGGCATATTTCAAATATATGAAAGAGCGTTTGAGCTAAGAAGTGGGAAGTGATTTATAAAGGCTTTAGGGATAGGCTTCCTCGTGAGGAGGGAGAGAAAAAAAGACTCTTCAGAGACGGGAGAGTGGGAGGATGCCGTTGAATGTAATGTTATAGACAGCAGAGTAATCGGCCGGGCTGAATTTTAATAGGCAGATCACAATACAGCAGCTCAGCTCTGCACTTCGAAAAAAAAACGCTCCTGGAGATTTTCATAACGGAATAAAAAAACCACTGAAATTCCATTGTTTGGAATCCCATAATGTTGAATAAAGTGTTGAAATATTGCCATTTTATTTATTCCCTTGCTGTGTTGAGCCTGGAACAGATTTGGTTTGGTAAAATCGATGTGCGTTTTTTTTTTTTTTAGTAGATTCATATTTATTGCTTAGGAAAAAAATCAATTGAAAATCTACATAGGTGGTTTAAAGAATCAACACTGAGTTTTCTCTAGAACTTTGGGATGATCTGTTTTTCGCTCTATTGGTGCATGTGCAGGAATAACACCGAATATACTGTATATGAGACAGTCCACATACCGGACCAGTTCAATCATAACCTAATTAACTATAAATAACCATGAGTCACATTTTTTTCCCTTTGTTTTCATGCAAATAACTACATATGAAATATCATTTTCCCAAAAAAGTGTTTGTGGATTATTTTCAAAATTCATCAAAATGGCCAGATTGAACACCCGAACGGGCCAATTTTGGCCCACGGGCCTTATGTTTAGCACACCTGCTTTAAAGAATACTGAGAAGAATGAAGAAAAAAAAACCTGTGACGTTTCATGTATTAGCGTTCAGTATATTTGTCAGCTAATTTGAACATTAAGTTGGACTAGCCGGCTGTTTACCATTTTTCCCAGAATTCCTACAGGGTCACACAATAACATAGTCGGTTTCTTTCGAAAAGAGTAGATAAAAACAATAGTAGTAACCATGAGTACTGAAGTCAATTACAGCATCACTGGTCTGATCCTGCTGTTACTGTGGTTGGTCGGGTGGTGCAGTGTAGTGCAGTCAGTACCTGGCATGAGAGGCTGTCCGGTCAGTCCAATAGGAGGCATCCCTAAGTTGTTCATGGCTGTGGCCCAGGCGTTGGGGTCCGACATCGGCATTGTTATGGAGTTGGAGTCCATGGTCATATTACAGATTCCCTCTGTGGAGAGACAGAAACGGAGAAAACGTCAGTTCAGTGAGACTTCCTAGCGTGAAGATTTGTTATTAAAAATGTTGACAAAAAAAAAAAAACTACAAAGGTTGGTGCTATAGTGATACAGATACAGGCCATTCCCTCTGTGGAGAGACAGAAACGGAAAAAAACTTCAGTTCAGGGAGACTTCCTAGCGTGAAGATTTGTAATTTAAAGTGTTGACAAAAGAAATTTCAAAGGTTGGTGCTGTAGTGATACAGATACAGGCAATAGCGGTATGATTTACGGAATGTCGCATGAAGCTAAGGGCTCAGGTATCGGATCAGATGGCCTATGGTTGTGGATTTTTTCCATATTTGATCACGACATTTTGACCAATATCGGTACCGATACCGGTCTTGAGTACTGGATGGAGCCATCCCTAGAACGTCCAATCTCCACTGGATTTTTTTCCCATATTTGATCACGACATTTTGACCAATATCGGTACCGATATCGGTCTTGAGTACTGGATGGAGCCATCGCTAGAACATCCATCTTCATCCGCTTATCCGTTACCAGATTTCGAGGTGAACCCTGGGGTTCTACACCAATGACAGAGACTGAGTACCCTAAACTTTTGTAATGACTTATAGATGGGTAGTGGATTCAAATTTTTCATTGGAGAAAATTAGCTAATAGCTAGCTAGTTAGCTAGCTGCTAGTTAATCTCAAGTACAGTAAGTACAACAAACTGAAAGAGTTAAAATGTGAATAAGATAGTTCTTCTAAGTAGATGTGCTGTAAACCCTGGGCCTCAACTCCTGGCCAGCGGGCCACTTTTGGCCCGCGAACTCACATCTGGGCCATGACAAAAATACTTTAAATTAGCCTTTGGAAATAATAATAATCTTTGGTTGGTCATTTAGAAAATAGCTATTTAAGTACTGCAGCACTGTACAGTATTAATGAACTAAAACAGCATTCGGAAAAGACTTTGGAGAAGTACGTGTAAGTACTGCTCCGGTAGATGAATGATGATGAGGTCAGGGTAACTCCGGACTCTGTTTATCCACGAAATCAAGCGAACATTTGTAGCAAATTTGAGAAGGTCCCTCCAGGCATTACTGAAATATCACTTTCACACTCGCTCTGAGAACATTATGCCTCCAGCTACAGCTGTCACCGGCAATGAGGCGCAATTATACACAACACAACACCATTAGAGCGGGTCGCTGAGCACATCTAAACCACCATTAGAGCGGGTCGCTGAGCACAAACGCTGACGCTCCATCGGCCGAACCTCCGAAAACTTTGCGAGAACCCCATCGCGGCGGATACCTGTGCGTCGTTTCGCACCCGCTTTCCAATGTTAGTTTTTATGGTTTTGCTGTAGCATAACGCACACAAACATTAAGGGAAAAACGTAACGACGGAACGTAACAGGCGGACGAAAAGGCCCACTGGGCGGGTCGTCAGTCGTCGGTTTACAGCCGTACACGAGCTCCGTGTCCTTCCTCGGCCTCGCCTCCGTCTCTCTGACGGACCTGTAAAAAGCTGGGACTGCCTCCATCCTCTTCTGCCTGATGCCAAAACTAACAGGGCCGCCTGTAATGAAAAGCCAAGCCTGCTGCACACACACACACACACACACTCACACACTTCACACCTCAGATGGTCTGCTGTGGAGATAACACTCTGGTCTGAGTCTGTCTGGGCTCGGGTTAAGACACGACTGCTGATGGTGGATTCATTCGGTTTGCCTCTCTCTCTCTCTCTCTCTCTCACTCACCCACACCTCGTACTTTTTGAGGCTGGTGTTTCTGTTGCTGTCGTACAGTCTCGATAAAAACAGACTCGTGACAGCAACTGTGACGGAGACTTCAGCGCCTCGTTAGAAACGCAGCACAAAACCAACTGACTGGGGTCTCTCTCTCATAAGTTAAAAGAAGGAGGAGGAGGAGGAGGAAGAGGAGGAGGAAGAGGAGGATAACAGTGGTTCTTAATTATTCGCCGTCATGGGGGCAGAAATGTTTTCATGCCCCCTCGACCAACAACCCCGTAAATTGAAATATTAATGAGAACCTAATGTATATTTTTTATCTGTACAAACCACTGTATGAGTTGCTGCCCCCTAGTGACTGGAGGCTTGTTATCATTCAAGCATTACAGCAGCGGTACACTTATGTCCAGCGCGCCATATTCCATTGGAAGGCCCCCACGCCCCCCCGACCACCCGGCAGCTCATCGCCCCCCCCCCCATCCCCCAGGAGGACCCGCAAAAAGGTCAGGTGTTTCCCTGGTTCTTTTCAGGTGTGCCGAGGTTTTCTCTAGGGGTTTTTTTTTTTTTTTCTTCTTCTTTTTTAAACCACAGTACAGACAAATTGCAGGATTAGGTTTAATTTGACAACCTCAATTGACACACAGGTCAAACACAGTAAAAGGTCTGATTACGGGGCACGCCCGGAAAGGTCAGAGACATTCGGCAAAAACAATTTACTCAGGTCCTCAGCTGAAGGACGGAGGAAGAACTGGAGTCATGGCTGAGCTCACACTCAGAGACTCCACATACTGGAAGGTTTGTCAGAATTAACTAGCATACGATGAGTCAAAAATCTGTGTTTGAAGCCATGCGGAAGAGCTAACCTGAGTGCTAGCTAAAGACTGTGAATTGGCTTTCAGTGAGGAATCATCTTGTAGCTAGCTAGTTAGCTAGCTGCTGTGTTTTTCTTAAAAAAACCCATCTAGCTAGTTAGCTAGCTTTTCATTCAGTTTTCCCCAGAGTTAGCTAGCTTTTCATTCAGTTTTCCGTAAGATCATTTTATATTTTTTTATCCCTAATAACAATTGATTTGACTTTCCTAAGTATATTTTTTTTATAGGCCAACTAATGATTTTAATTGTCTATGTCCTAGTTTAGGATATTTATCTGTACAACGGAATGATGGAATGAGTTTCTTAATAAATTTATGGGAGATGGCGACATGAAACCACGACCATGAAACACCGCAGATCGAGGACCCCCAGTAGTCGTAGTTCAATAATGCCTGGCCAAATTGACATTCAATTAAAGCATCTAAAACCCACCTAACATGAACTGGAATGTGAAGTCATATATTTTAAGATCATTTCGCCCTGCTAACGTAGGAGTGATTTCTCACCCGCTGCCCCCTATTGTCCCGACTGACCTACGCTCGTCCACTTCCTTCCTTCCCGTGAATCAATTAAACTTTCAGGCTTTTCAGCTCTGAGTGTCAATCATTGCAGGCTTCTGATTTCTGAGCCTCAGAACGACCTTCAGGGCAGAAGTCAGAAGTCTTGGCTCCGTTTAAGGCAGCATCCCACACTGAAGCATTAGTATGTGGAGCTGCAGAGGGAATAGCAAACAGCTGCCCGGGGCTAAACAAAAAAAAAACATCAAATATATGCATGGACATGATAAGTACAGTACAGTAAGTATGTAAATATAAAAATGCTGCTGTGAAAAAAATAGCTTTCACAATATTTGATGAATTGAGATGCGGCAGATAAGTACTTGGGGGTGGTGCAGAACATGGGACTAAAGTGAAAAATTTTAAAAAGGAATCGGAATGGAAAAAAATAAATAAAGATCAGAGTAATAATGTAAGGATTATTCATTTTTCCGCCTACGCTAAATCTTCAGTCAGGCAGGTTTCACTTGACCTTCAAAAAATACAAATAATATTAATTATACTTTAAAGTCATTTCATTTCAGGGAGAGAAAAAAAAACCCAACTAAATTTCATGGTTAATCAAAAATTCGTCAATTTCAGTCTTGAAAAATGAGGTCCACGTTAACTCTACGAACAAATCCATTCAATCTGGGTTCAAACCACAATGACTGCACAAATTGAATTTTCTGTTTACTCCACCGTTGGGTCTGCTTAAGCCTTTATTGGCCCTGATTCAGAAGCAGGACACACAAGTGCTCCTGACAAAGAATGAGCATGCGTCACACACAAAGACAAATATGAAAATTAAACAACGCTAGTTCGTCAAACATGACCAAAAATGACAAAGTCGACCATGACAGATCTGTGTACATAGACTCTGAGATAATTAAAAAAAAAAAGCTAGATCATTTCTAATCTATCGATTGTTCACTTCAGCCTGAAGCCTCCCGTTTCTCTGTCTCTGAAGGCTGCAGCCGACTCCTAGCTTCTCTCAAAGCTCCCCCAGGAAGCAGAAAGGAAATTAAGTCATTTTAGGGCCCATTGGCCGTAAACCCAGACAGCAGGCCGAGAGACGCTGGGGGCCATTTAGCGGAAAATGCACAGGGTTTTAACAGCTAACTGCAGATTTATTACAGCCGCTGGAGACCGAAATCAAGAGGGAGGTGAAAGGATGGGAGGGGAGTGACAGGAGGAGCTAGAGAGTAACAGGAGGCATTCAGGAGATGGATGTGACGCTGGACAAGCTGAACAGCAGAGGAAAGAGGTGGATCAACGACACGCAAAACATCTGCAGCAAAGAATGAGTATTAAAATCGGTAGTTGATTCCATTTGCTTAAACTTGTCGGAGGTTGGTTTGGATCAATGTTCGAAAATTGTTTCTTAGATCATTTATCACATCCTCTTTAAAGGATTGGCCTAATGTTGCGATGTCTTCTGAAAGATGTACTGTATCGTGTGTACTGTATCGACAGTACATCGCAGATTTATTTTGGAATCCGATCTTTTTTTTGGCTTCAAATATGTGGATTCTCCCTTTTGAAATTGAGATAAGCGCATTTGCGAACGACCGCTGGTAGCTTTGTTTACCTAGACGAGATCGATCCTAGATAAGAACGATCGCTGGTAGCTTTGTTTACGTAGACGGGATCGTACAGAGCATACTATTGGCTATGCTAAGAGCATGCTCTTCCAGTGTGGGGGAGGTTCGTTAAGGGTAAATATATACGTAAATAATATAATAACTATCTGGCCGTTTCGCGGTGGGTCTTGTAACCCAACTACCGCGATAGGAGAGGGACCACCGTACTCACAACTGCACGCTAGCAATTCAG